TGCTTTTTCTGGACGTTTGCAGTCGCCTTTGGGCTCAACGGCCTCGGTCTCTACTGCGCGTACAAGCTGCACCAAGCAACGCGCAAGTCCTAAGCTCAAGTTGAGTGTTTATTGTAGTTCACACAGCCTTAAAGCCTTAATGAGAGGACTAGGGTCATGCTGATGCAGGACGTCCTTGGCTTCTCGAGACGTGCCACAGGGGTGCATAATACCAGTAGTACAGTGCCTCCCGAAAGTATTGGGTGGCGTTATTTGAGACAATATTTCTATAAATTGTGAAGTCATTTGTTTGCCAATTTATCTGTGGAGGCTATCAAACGATAGACAATTGAAAGCTGCGTACGGGTGTATTTTTGAAATCTCGAAACTCGATGTTGTCGCCGAGAATGGTTCAGAAATGCGCTCGACACGCCGTCAAAAATTTTGGGCCGCCACCATCTGATCCCGGTCTGAGCCCCACAGTTTCTTCAAAATAGTTTCGACACATCGATCTTTAGCACCGCGGGTATCGATGGACCACGGAGTAGTAAATACAAGTGTCAATGCACCATAGGCTACCACCGCTGGATTGGTCCGAGAAAGCTGAACGGGATGGTCAACATGTTGCCGAATGATGCACGGCATGGCTTCATACAAATCGCCATATAGTACAGTGTAGGTAGCCATGGACACATGGGTTGAAACTTTGACCCTCTCCAACGTGGCCACCATTGTCGTCGCGAGGCTTAAATCAATTGCGTAAAGTAGTTTATTCTTAGTTTAATCCTCTCTTCACGTGACATTCCGTCGTTCGGACTATTTCTCCGTCATCTATTCACGGTATTCTCGCTTTCGTCTTCTTTTCACCCAATACTTACATACCTAGCAATGTACTTTGTACCACTGTAGGATTGTCATTCCAAACTTTTAGAAATATGAAGATAGCTATTGTAAAAAATATAATCGATTGCGACATTAACCACTAAAAACGGTTGAGTAGAAAAAGTGATAGGACGTGATGCCGTTGCCAATTGGCTTCACCCAATATTTTCGGGAGGCACTGTACCTTGCTTGTGACGTTGTATGCAGAGCGCATGAATATACTACGCGCAGATGAGCCCAACATCGCATCTGAGGTACTGCGCAGTCGCGACCGACGACGTCATTTGCGTCGCGGGGTGACACCAGCTTGCACCTCGCTATGCGCAGCGGTGCGTGTACCCCGCGTGTACCCGGCGCGGAGTTAAATCTATCCAAGCTGGCGTTCATTTACCTGCATAACTTCTTTTCGGCGGCCCCTATTGCGCACTGAGTCAGCAACCAGAGGCGCAATGTACCGAATCTCGATGGTGTCGATGCCAGAGACTGCGATTATGATTGATGCAAAAGGCCTCCTTTTCAAGGTATGTACAAGAACGTCAAACGAAGCTGATCCCAGTGATTTGGCTCCTGCGATTGCTCGCGCTCGACGCTGGCGTCGACATTGCATTGATGGGTCGTTACGACGCCGAGTCGCTTTCATTCCTCTTGCGCAGTGGGCAAATACACAACGAAGAACACATTTCTGAGTGGACCGTAGCATCATAACTGCAAAGTCTAACCCTAAACCATGGCAAACACACATATGTATTTGGAGAGATGAAGATGGAATGTAGAAACGTTGTCGTCCTTCGGTGAAGGGCGGCGCCATCGACGTGGCATAGCGGCTGCTCGACGGCTTCTTCAGTAGGTCGGTGTTCTTGTTCAGCAAAAGCCGGTCGATGATCGCAATGGCGGTCGAGCGCTTGGTCGGGTCGAACGACAAGCAGTCGTCGACGAGCTCCTTGAACCACGGCGCACAGTCAGCGCTCACGGACGGACGCAACTCGCCACTGCGGACGCCGTCGATGATCGCAAAGAGGTTCATGCCGGCATACGGCACCTGGAGCGTCTCGAGCTCCGTCAAAATGACGCCAAACGAGTAAATGTCGGCCGCATAGTCGTACGTGCCGCCAGATGTAAAGACTTCGGGTGCGGTCCACGCACGAGTACCAGCCCCAGTCGTCATGTTGAGGTCAATCTCCCGCGCGAGGCCAAAGTCGGCCACCTTGATGTAGTTGGTTGAGCTCAAAAGCACATTGAGGCTCTTGAGGTCGCGGTGCATAAAGCCATTGCGGTGGAGGTCGGCAAGACCATTGGCAATGACCCACG